CCACAACAGTCCATCGTCTCATGCGTACACAACCTTGTCAGCATTTATTGTAAATTCTGCTCTCAAAGGTTTGTAACTCTCCTCTAAAAAGTTACTACAGCCTGAAATCTGTTGCAAGTTCACTGCCAAGGAAGAGTTATTTTAAAATCAGAAAATAATGCATCTATTGGAGTCGGTAGCTGGTGTGGGGTTTTATCTATACAAGTGGTTTAAAAAACAAAAATAAAACCCCCACAATTCAGCATCTTTGAAAATCTTCTGGCTCAAAAAAAAAAAAAAAAATCAGAAAAGGAATAAAATTCCTAAAAGTTAGTATTTTCCTTCAAAAAGCTGCAATTGTATGGCAGATAAGCCTGAAACATGCAATTATTTGTGATACTTTGTAAAACAGTTGCCACGCTGACACATTACCAACTCCCAGTGTCTCATCAACACCGACTGTAAATAACAACCCTACCCATGCCCAATTAGTTTGCAGCTCAGGACCATGCCCCTGCTAAAGGACTGTGGATTTTAAAGGCAGAATGGACACATTAGGACTGATTTAATCTGGCTGCTTGTACAATTCCCCAGAAACTCAGCTAGCAATTCCTGTACTGGGCCAAATAACTTACTGAACCGGATCCCTGAAAGGGCATCCAACCCTCACCCAAAGCTGTGGGGATGTCACATTCCTCCATAATGGGCTCTGATAATTGCCCTTCCTTAAAAAAAAAAAAAAAAAAGAAAAAAGAAAAAACCCTACCAACCCTCCGATTTAACTAATCTGTTTGAATTGTTAACCATAACTTGCAGATATCAAAGCCACTGTTCTTGTAAAAACAAACAAACAAAAAAACCAACAGCAACAAGGGAACCCTGGGTGAACTTTTTCTGCTTTATTCTTCCTACCAAACTGGAAGCAGCATCCTGGTGCTTCTCCACCCCCTCTGCCCCAGGAAAAGGGGCACCACCTTGCAGAGCTCCCCCCGAGCCCTGCAACCTCCTAAGCAGGGTGGCACCAGCATGGGGAGAACCCATGGATGGGGAGCAGCTGCTCTCCATGGGACAAGGGCCATCCCACCACCACAGACCCGTCCTCCACAAGCTGCGGCCCTGCCCACTCCCTGGGTGTCCAAGAAGCACCTCAAAACCCCACATCCTGATCCAGACAGGATCCTAACAAAGGATCTTGAGTGGACTGTGCTAACCGCTGTGACTGCAGGCAACATTAACCTTTAAGCACTGCCAACGTTTTTACAGAAATGAAGGTATATTGCTGGTATTATGCAAATTCTTACCAAAAGGACAACATTGCCCTAGCTACTGCACTGAATATGTTCATATTTATATGTTGGTTAGTGCCAGCAAAGAGCTGTGACCAAGGTAAAACCCAAATGACAAATTGTGACTCACGTCAGGGCCCAGCAGCAGACACCGTCCATCGAAGAAGGCCTCTGTCCTTCACTACTGCTCCCAGGAACCTCCCAAACGCACATTTAAGGCCATTTTGAACTAATATGTTTTTCACAGGACACAGAATTAGGCTGTCCCTTGTGAAAAGCTTAAATTAGTCCTTTGAAATCTGACCTAAATTAAAAGAACTGAAACACACTGTTACTGCACCAGGCGAGGGCTCTGAGTGGGTGCTCCAAGGACAGCGTCAAGGCATTGCATGAGGGGAGGGAAGAGACTAAATTAGCTGCCCAGCAGAACGATAACACACAGCTTGGGCAAGGGAAGGTCAAGGGAGAGCTTGCTATTTATCAAATATACGTCTAAACTAATTATTCAGTTCACAAAGTAAGCCTTCAATCTATGTGTGCGGTCAGAGCCCTTTTGAAACGTTGGCTCTCAAAGGCCTTCATAGCCTGGGTACACGGGATGAGAATGGATCCTTTGTACACACTGGGGTGGACTTATTTCTAAAAATTTAAAAGCAAAGTCTTTATACTCCCTAGGATAAAAAAACATATAAGCAGACACTGGATGCAAGATGTAATTCAACTGTTGACAGTCCCCAAACTGACTCCTACTCCTGTTTCTGCTCACACTCAAAGGCCTTCATAGCCTGGGTATACGGGATGAGAATGGATCCTTTGTACACACTGGGGTGGACTTATTTCTAAATATTTAAAAGCAAAGTCTTTATACTCCCTAGGATAAAAAAACATATAAGCAGACACTGGATGCAAGATGTAATTCAACTGTTGACAGTCCCCAAACTGACTCCTACTCCTGTTTCTGCTCACACCACATAACAGCTTCAGACTTCAACCATCCCTGCTTAAGGAACAAAGCATCACAACCAACACCAGCCACACTGAGGATCCAGCCCTTAGCGAGCACCCACAGCATCAGTATTGACGTTATAATTTACAATGGCTCCAGATATCATCATCACTGTAAAAACCTTCCCATGTACCAGAGTAATATCTAATAGTCACAGATGTGATTCAGAGCTCCACGAGTCCAGCATTTTATAAAAGCACTTGAGAAAAGTGTAGTACCAAAGAGACCAGATTACTTTTGGTTATCCACAAAGTACCCCGATGCGCGTCTTGCACATATCCTGCACACATACTGCTTGTGCTACACTACATACTTCAGACACGCTGAAGAAAATGTTTACAAACATCCCTAAAGTTATGTTTAGCTAAGAGATGAGAGTATATTCTCTATTACAATCAAAGGAACAAAAAGCCACAAACTCAATTCCTGTTAACGTTGCATACAGCTTTTTGAATATTCTGAGTCACTAAGACAATAAATAGTAACAACAAAAGCACCTAACGTAAAAAAAAAAAATTAGGGCATGTCCATGAAGGAAGACTAAGGAGCAGATCAGCACATGTCACAAAAGGTCATGGCCCTGTCGACCTTCTCAGCTGGTATGAAATGTCATAGCTCTAATGACTGCACAGTCAGCAGCACTACCAAAAATTCGCATTATTAGAGCACCTGACCCTCCGAATTAGCTGCAGCCAAATGTTTGGCATTTACTAAATTAGAAAAAAAAAACCAAAAAGTATGCTTTGTCTTCGAAGAGATTTTTGAAGGGTTTTTTTGTTTTGTTTGGAGAGCTTGTGGGTGGCAGTGATGGAACCCAGAGAAGGTGATTGTGTAAAAAGTTTTGGTTGGTTTTTTTTTTTTTGGTAGTGGGGTTTTTTGGGGCTTTTAAGAGGTTTAAGGAAGCACATAAAGGAGGTTTTATTTCCCAAATACAAGATACAAATTCCACACAATTCCCTGTATTCTGCAGCATAAAAGCTCTTATTATACCATTAACTTAGAAGCATGATTTTTTTTCCTCCTTTCTGGTAATGATTCAGGTTCTCACATCTACAATTGTTTCATGTCAGTAACATTCCTGCCCTGGGAAGAAGTTTTAAATCCTTTTAACAATTTACACTTTGATACAACCCAGATTCCACCCCCTGGATATTCACTGCGGAAGAAACATATTATTAAACTGTGCTTTTTGAAATAATAAAGGCTATTATTTCCCTAA